TAAAGACAGTACCGGATAACAATGTCTTGGGGATATTAGTCCCCTTTAACATCATCTCTGCTCCAGAAGTTGCCAATCCTCTATAGCTAGCATCGTACAACAGGACATGAGCCTCGTCGACAACTATACGTGAAATGACATGGAGATTTCCATCCACAGCCATTGTGGGTTTTGCAAATCGATCCATGAACGAAAGAACAACATCGTCTCTACAATGTTCAAGTTGCAGCAGAACAATGTCATGAGATATCAGAGTATCTGGGATCATGCCATTGCTTGGAAAGTACTTCACAAAGGTAGCCATACCTTTAAACTTCGCCTCAAGCAGTTCTTCGTATTGCTGTAGCAAAGCAACAAAGGGAACAAGTATCACTGTCGTACGCTGCACCCCTGGATGATTCGGATTATGTCTGTGTTTAAAGTGCAACGCATCAGCAGCAGCTGGAAGCAGCGATGCAATCGTCTTCCCAAAACCAGTCTTCAAATTCACCAGAATGGATTGATTTGTGAAGTACGATGTCTCAGATATCCAACATTGCTTATCGCTCAGGTAGTCAAAGTCTTTTCCATATAACATAGTACCAACCGCACGCAATTGGTATGAATCTTTGGTGTTGATAGAGTCATCGATATGGTACTTGAAGGCAACTTGATCAACTAGGGCCTGTGGTGATTCAAAGAGAAAACGCGCCCAACAATCGGCCAAAGCCAAAATAGCGTAGTTCACTTCAGCTGTCTTTGCATATGTGGATAAGCCAGTCTGTACAGAATGGTTTGCAATGAGTTCAATTGGATCTTTGAAGTGAATCAGGGAGTAAGTCCGGCTGTCCTTGGTGATGACTTGACGGTTAAAGTGCATAAGTACACGACGTAGAATCCTTCCTGTCATGCCACTAGCATGAGCTTTACCTTTCGATGGAACATTTCTCGTGAAGAAGTTTCTGATTATAGCAGTCTGCTTACTGCTGCTCAAGATGGCGTCTCCATATAGAAAGATGTATGTGTCAAGCATGTCCCGGATTGTCGGGGAGCGCAGTGGAACAGAGTATTCCTCATCCTTATCAATATCATCAATGTAGTCGTCATCCTCCCCTTCGCTCTCCTCCTGCTCCTCATCATGATGTTCGAGCCCACTCGTTATGTCAACCCCACCAACCATAAGCAAACGTTTCTCTATCTGTCTGATGATGTAGATGTAATAAGCAATTAACTTCAGAATCGGAGTAGGCACTATTCTTACCCGTGCATTTGGTTTGTTCTGAGATGTTCTCGTCTTTGAACCCGCCATAATAAACATCCCATCCTTGAAGAGTGACCGGTTGAGGATCCTCGTATTGCTCCATGTGGCTCTTGCGTATTCACTGCCTCCCGTCGGTCCAAAAACGGATATCAAGAGCAGAGGGAAGATATTATCTATCGCTATTGATTGGAACTCCTTCACCGTCTTCCATGGATTCTTCTTAGCTTCTTCCATCAATGTCTTAGGGAAAGTGGTGAGCTGAAAATCACCACCAAGTGAGGAGAACATCGAAAACCCAGATCCAGATTCCATAACATCTTCTTTCCCATTGCGAAGGATATATTGCCATACTTTATCAACATCCGGAAACTCCAGTGCTGGGTACTTTCTGCACAGACGATTGAGATCTTTCTTGAAAGAACTGATCCCATTTTGAACAAGCGTTGGAAGATACTCTTCTTTGAAATACAACGTACCACAGCGAACACCGTTATCTGAATCAGTTATCAAACTAAGTGGCAGTCGTCCTGATACCACACATTGCTTGGAAAGATATCTTATGTGTAAGAGTGTCTCAAATCTCGGAAGTCTTTGTCTTGACGTGTTAATAAAGTGTTGAAATGTCTCGTTCTCGGTGTCGTCGTCAAAAGAGCTTGAAATCAACAGCTTGGTAAAATTGACAACGGCATCCATTCGCCGGGCCTGCAACGAGGTTTTCTGTAAATCAGTTACGACAAACTGGTTACATCTATCGGACTCATCTTTTGGAGCAAGACCTACCAGCAGAAGTCCACAGCTGTCCGAATACAGTTCCACGTTTCCTGGGTCAACCATCATAATGCGTGTTGCCTTAGCAAGAGCAAGTGTCACTTCAGTCTTATCATAGAATCCAGTAGTGGCAGCAGAGTAGAGCACGCTCAAATAATTGGAAAGATCCGCATTGTAATTGAGCCTCTCCATAACAGACGCCGAACTCATTAGACCACACATATTGCAGATCCACTGCTTGAAGACGTTGACGTAAGCTTTCTGAGTAGAGTCCGTCACTTCGTTGAGCCAAAAGGGTGAATCCTTTGTAGTAGTTGAGTGTTCCGATACCCTTGAGTCCCTCACAAAGCAATGTCTTCTATCCTTATGATACTTGAGAGCGTATTCGTAAATGTCATTTGCCAACTTCATAAGAGAAGATTCATGCAACCACTGTTCTCTGAAATCCATCAAGCAGATCAGAGGATTCTCTTCTTTGAAGCCATTACATCTCTGAACAAAATCGATGATCTGCGACTCGTCGATATGCGCACATGCTTCTATCTGATGTTTAGGTTCGACCCCTTGCTGCGCATCACCACTTCTCAATTGTGGCATGGGAGATAATGGATAAGTGACAGTTTCGACTGGACCAGGAGCAAAACCATCAGACCGTGCTGATGTTCCCACTTGTATCACTATGTATCTCAGTTGTTGACCAGAGTAGAAACAGTAACCTCTGGATGGGATTGAACGTTTGGGCAATGTTGCACACCCTCTAAGATGTGACCTGGCTCCTGCAACATTGCGATAGCAGAAGGACTTGCAACTGCAACACATACTAAACTCCTCCACCTGAAGACCAGGAATAGTGTCACTAATCATCACGCAGTTGTATGCTGCAACTTTGAATTGATGGTAGATATTGTTCCCACACCGATCCAAGCAGGCCCGTAAAGCTCTTTGAGTGGGTTTGGATATCTTTTTGCTGGAATACGGGTTGATGACACATCCGTTTATAGGGTCAAAGGCAACACCAAAGTCGTGATCAACATGGAACCCCTCCACAACTTCAACGCTGGTTGTTTGATATGTATTATTCATGCTAATGTTTGAAGGTGAAAGCAAACTCAAGATCAAGGGGTTGTTATGTCACTTTCAAATACTCTGTTAATATTGTGCACCAATATGGATCGTAACAAACACTCACAGTTAGATTAAAGAAGTTTCTATACTACCAGGACTGGTTCCCAATAAGTGTTGACTCTATGGCTACCAAGACACTGATAACCATTGTTGATCATGCAGAAAACCTATTTGACGCGTTGGTAACGCGTTGGGCTTTCAACCAAATTCCCAAGTTTTCAAAACCCCCCCGTGTATCACCACCGTATATGGAAATAGCTCCTCGCCCTGTGTAGAATCTCCCCGTAAAGTGATCTCAGCTACAGTGTGAACTTCCCTGAGTTGTAAGGCCACTTAATGCCGCTTAAAGCCATTTACCTCCACTGAAGACTCTCCAAACAGAGAAACATCCGCACATCATTCCAAACCGCCCGGCTATTCTTAAACACTTGGACAAAAATCTTGTCTGCTGATAATACTGTAAAATCACACTTAAACTTGTATTATCTGATCCATTGGCCTAACAGTCGTCTTGTGTAGCTATTTCAAATTGGTTTCAAGAGTTCTGTTTTTCTAAAGTCATACATATACATTATATGACGAATATTCCCAATTCTCAATCGAAGATGTCTGTTTTCAAGAAAACTCCGTGAATTGCTTACATTCTTAAAACCATCACAACTCACGCTACTCTCATGCTAACGACATGATCTTAGTGGCAGTGTGTAATTAACATTCACAGAAATCCAGTGATACATGTTAACCCTTCTAGTCACCCTAATAGATGCACCAAGCGATATCTTTTTAGCAAAAGAGATATTTCGCACCAGGGGGACGTCACTCCCCCATACAAATTTTTGATGTGCGCGACGCAGTATATTGCCCATACCTATAGTCCGGGGTCTTTGATGGGAGCTATGTGATAATTACAGGGCTTGGTGGTGTTTCTTCATTGGTGTCAGGCTATTGTTCGAAGTTTTTGGTCATCTCGAAAGCTAAAGGTTGTTTTTGTAGTTGAATTGTTGTTTTGTGGAGTGCTCTACCTGGACCGTGGATATAATCACTTATCTAACAACTATATGTAGATGCAGATGAGATTATTGCAAGTTTAGCAGATTGCCAAATAGCAGTAGCACCTTCTTTGAAAATGGGTTGGTGTGTTTCAAAGTTGTTTCTAGAGCTGAAAGATCTGAACTTCATTGTTACAGATGTACATAAGAGAATGCAAAAGATGCTTTTCTCTATGCGATCAGCTTTGACTTTAATTGCGTTTACTTGACTTCTACGTCACCAGAGGATGTTACTGTCTACGGTGAGATATGAGAGAATAGGAGTTTTCGCTGGCAACGATTAAGTAACACTTTAAATGACCTCTTCATGTGCTTGGGTCATCTACTTTTTGAGTTTGAAACGTAGTGAACGCATATGTGCAAGATAACGTTATGGAGATGAGCTATTTGGTGTTCAACTTATATTTCTCAAAAGATTGTGACATCACAATGTATTATACAATCAACAACCAAAAAGTTTTTGATACACTTCTCTTGCACTTCAAGTGCCGGCTAAACGTTAGTAGTAATATGAAATAATGATAGTGAGATGATACCTAAGCAATGTGGTGTGAGACATACAAGATAACAGGTTTGTTCGTGAGAACTTAGGAAAGGAGGAAATACGATGGTCCAAAGACTTCTATTCAAACCATAGTGTAAACACTCAAACTGTGATAGTTCATATTCCAGGTTGCTTCGATAAGATATGAAAAAAAGGGGAATAAACTATTGTTCTGCCATAGTTTACAATTCGATTAATTCGGTAATAAACCCGAAACTCAGATCCGAAGGTCGAATAACACAGAGATCGCATGCAAATGCCAATTGAAATGTCTAGTGTTGATTCAGACCTGTGTGAAGCTTTAATCAAGGAGAGGACCTTACCCCGTTGAAATAAGGGATAGAGGTAGTTTTTCCATCAGTTCTTTGAGCCTTAACCTATTCCAATGTCCTAGTTGATCTGCTGTTACAAGTGTAGATCTCCATATCTCTTATTGGAAGACAAAATCTTGTACAATGGATGAAACCATTAAGACTTTGACATATGCTATCTCTAACACTGTTCCTGTGACTTTCACAGTCACTCAAAACCTTTCAAATCATTTGGAATAGCGTTATGTTCTAATTACCAGGACCTCATTCTAGAGCTACCATCCTTCAATGATTCCAAGCTTAGATTGTCAATGGAATAGGAGTGTTGATAACATGAGGTCTCCTTCCGCTTTGTTGATGTTTTTTTCAGCCCCCTGATATTAATGGTATGCGGATGTTTAGAGTCAGCAAAAAAATTGTGAAATCATAACAAGGCATCAACGATAGCTAACTTCACCAACGTTCAATGGCAGTAACAGCTTCCATTGGAAAAAATCGACTTAGAGTACCGTTAGTAGAGCTCTATATCAGAGAGAATTAAACTGTTAGCTATGTGTAGCTTGTAGAGTCAGCACAATGTGGTCATAGCTGGATGACTTTAGGTACAAAAGACACAATGAGTAACAATAAAAGTCAATTCATACCCTTCAAGGTTAAGCATAACCTCGATCTATCAAAAGAGAGATGGCTAGTGGATAATAAAGAAGATTATGTATTGTGTAACAGAAACTAAAACGTTTGGAAAACAGATTGTGCGGAAATCGATAGGTTTAGGTTATGCCATAGCTTAAAATATGACAGTAACAACAAAAGACAATGGCACTCAAGAACCGCAGGGGAGCTTTGAGCTGTTCATGTTTGTTAGACTAGAATTCAGATCTCTTCGAATAACCGTATGGTATTCGTGTTGGGTTATTCTTTGAAATTTGGTGTTGACTCACTGTTAAAATGTGGAATAGAAAAGAACAATGGTATGAACGAAGCACCAAATTTCAAATCACCACAGAAGAAATTGGATCTCCGTAATAGCTCTTACCACCTAACATCCACACCAATTACTCCTAAATGGTAGTACTTTGAAGTTTTATCTCACCTAATTATCTTTTTATGCTGGTCAAAGCAGCTTGGTGCCTATTCTTCAGTTTTGCTTCCTGCATAACCAATTACACCATCTATCCAGGGCTAGTCCCAGATAACTATGGGATAAGAACAGTTTCTCAAGAGCTACACCAGGTTTCTCAAGAGCTACACCAGGTTTCTCATGATGAAACTCAACGAAATGTACTGTTATCTAATGAATTCCGAAATTTTTCTGACAAATCAGTAGCCTTCACCAAAACAACCAAGGCTTTTATCACGACATTCCAACCAATACACAGTTGCTACAAACCACATAAGCGTGTGATTCTAGTATGTTAATACGTGCTTATCTGAAGTATATGACACGTCAAAGAATATTCAGGTGGACGATAAGTTACCACAAATATTCTCCATGTGTTTATGATCAAGGAAATCACGTCGTAAGTCAACCATGGAGTGTGAGAGTCTTCTCATCCAGCATCCGTCAAGTGTCATAAAGCCAAGATCTGAGCTACATCTACGACACACAAATCGGCATCAATTTATACTGTGATCCCAGCTACGGCTCGTATACTTCAAAGTTGTTCCAGAAATGGTTTATTCAAACCATGGAGAAGCATTCTGCAGCAATGGTGATCCTCAAAGATATTCCAGCAGAAGCATCCCCTGTAAACATCCTTAATGTCACTCTTATGAAATATTCTGAGCTCAGTTTCCACAAGGTCTTCGTTGTTCCCTTCGTTCTCAACTGACGAAACAGGTCTTGGTTCTCTGATTGTGAGCATTTTTATATGTCTTTAGAAATGTAAAGAAAAAGATATTGTCTACCACATCTACTGAGCGCAATATAGCTGATATCTAGGGTATTATCTAGTGGAATTTCCAACAGCGAGGTCAAACATAGGAGCTGATTTCAACTATTTCAACCTATTGGGGATAAACTAACGAGCTGAAAATGCATAGAGCCTTTGTTACTTCAACTCGGCACTGTGTACAGTTAAATTAAACTTCTGCAGAGATTGATTACTCTTCATCAGCAGCTCAATATACACGTCACAATCGGATGGTAAAGACCCTTCCTTACAATAAACCAAAGAATAAGACGAGAAGAGCTCACCAAACCATCAAAACATCACCGCCAACTAAGAATCACTACCAGTTGAATGGTCTAAAAATGGATCGGCCACGCCCCATCGCACTTGTCCGTTTTCGTAGTCGAAATTCCGCGCGCGTTGGCCGGCTATCGTTGTCCATTACGGAAAGAAATCCCGATGGCCGTCAGCTCCAACATCATCACCATCAGCAGTTTTTACTTTTCCCTTCCGATCTTCTTCGTCCTCCAAGTATATATCGAGACGATTGTCCTGGTCAAACTGTTGCTGCTGTTCTGTCCTTGAAGGTGTCATAGATAGGGAAATCTCACACATGTCTACTTTCACTACTGAAACTTCAAGACTCCTATCTGATCCAACTGTCCCGGAGGAGGAATATGGAATCCATGACAACTCTGACGATAGCACCACCACGCTACAAGATGGATATATCACAACAACAGCGGAAGAGGCATCTGCAATTTCAAAGTCGTCACTCTCATTGATCATTACCTTCTTCCTCCAGTACTCATTGAACGTGGTTTCGATCTTCTCTGTGGGTCACATTGGAAAGACTGAGCTCGCAGCAGTTTCCTTATCTGCGATGACCTTCAACATTAGTGCCGGTGTGTTCCAAGGAATGGCAACTTCGCTCGATACGTTCTGCTCACAAGCATACGGCGCAGGGAAAATGAAACTCGTTGGGCTCCATTTTCAGAGGTGTGTGTGCATGGTGTTTGTAATTGCCATTCCGATAAACCTGATGTGGTGGTTCTCAGCCTCAATTCTTAACTTATTCGTCCCTGATAAGGACCTCACATCGCTTGCACAGAACTACCTGAGAATCTTGGCTTTTGGTTCTCCTGGGTTCATTCTTTTCGAAACAGGGAAGAGATTTTTACAAGCACAAGGCAATTTCCACGGGGCCAAGTATGTGCTATATATTTGCACACCGATAAACGCTGTGCTAAACTACGTATTGGTGTGGGACTCAAGTGTTGGTATTGGGTTCTATGGTGCTGCCCTTGCCACTGCAGTCAGTTATACCCTCATGGCGTTCCTATTGCTATGTTACGCTGCCTATGTTGATGGATCAAAATGCTGGAATGGGCTTCAAATTAGAGAATCCTGTAAGAATTGGGGTCCAATGGCTTCTTTAGCATTGCCTGGTGTTATAATGATCGAAGCAGAGTTCCTCGCGTTTGAGATCTTGACGCTTAGTGCTGCGAAATTTGGTACAGAGACACTTGCTGCTCAGTCAATTGCTTCCACCTGTGCATCCCTCGTCTTCCAGGTCCCATTTGGACTGAGTGTTGCGGCATGTACAAGAGTAGCAACTTACATTGGATCACAGAACGTTATCAGTGCTCAGATTGCAATTAAAGTGTCACTTATCATTGCCCTTATACTCGGAGTGGTCCTTGCATCAAGTGTCTACAATGGGAAGGACATCATCATTTCCTGGTTTACAGACGATTCTAAAGTCATTGAGCAGACACTTGTGGTGATTCAGGTCTTGGCTTACAACCAGCTATTTGATACGGTGAATGTTATATCAGCGGGCTGTTTGAGAGCACAGGGTCGTCAGAAAATTGGAAGCAATCTGAATCTCTTCTGCTATTACGCCATTGGCTTGCCTATGGCAATGTATTTGGCCTTCCATAGAGGATGGGGACTCAAAGGTCTATGGTTTGGGTTAAGTTCTGGAGTTTTCGTTTTAGCCATTGCAGAACTCATAGCGATTTTCACGGCTGATTGGGAATGGATTGTTCGCAAATCCATAGAGAGGAACAGCGTAGAGTATTGAGAAAATAGATCGTTTATTGCGTATACCACTCAGTAGGCCATTAAATCGACATTAAGGTTGGGGTTTATGTTATTCCATGCTCTTTTCATCATTTCAATTGAATACTGTGCAGACCCTGAGCCCCAGCCTGCTAACAGATGGAAAATGCTATCCAATTTGAACTTCTGCTCATCCGTACTAGCGCTGAATCCAGCAGCTAGTAGTGGCCATTGAACCATCATCAATGGGAAGATGATACTATCTGTAGCGTTTTCAGCTTTTATTCCAGCAGTAACTGAGTCTAAAATGCTGTTGACAAGTTCAATAACGGCACTTGTGTCCAAAGGCACATGGAGAAATTTGGTTAAAACTGTCAACAATGCTGCATTCACATAGGTCATGTGTGTAGTTTGTGCCCATGGATATTTAGAATCCAGTTCTATAGCTGTGAAGTCATAATCTTTGAACGCTCTGAGTTCGCTAATCATATCAAAGACAAAATCAGAATCGGCCTTTGGCCCAATATTGGTATTCCCCTTACGCATCCGAGTCATTAATTTAATCAGAGGCGGAAGCAATTTGTTATGAAATCCAAAGATGTAGTTGAAATCTTCTTTTGAGACAAGTTGTAATTCCCTGAGTATTTGAACTTCATTTTCATCATTCACATTAGTTGAAAGCTTCTCTATTTCATGGGACTGGACCAGAACTCCCCCGAAAGGTGCGGTGAGCCCAGCAAGTATTTCAAACCCGGTGAACCAACACTTACAAAATGTCAATACCTTTGTCTTTGGAAATGCCTCGTCTATGAATACCTTCCGTAGTAACTCCTTGGCCCCCTTAAGATGGCTTCTCCAGCTGTCCTTCATACTGGATGCATTGTCTGATGTGAGTAAAAGTATTGTCAGAGTCAAAGTTTCCACTGTTTGTACAATTATACTCAAGTTTAATGATTCAACTTGATCTTTAGATAAAGTCAACACCATTGTATAATCATTCAACAGCTCTAGTGTCTTTTTCATAAAAGCAGCACATGCATTTTGATCGTCGTCCTCAAGTGTTCTTCTATAAGACAGTCGAGCCCCGGATGCCAGCATTGCAAAATAGAGGTAGTCCTTTTTCATCGAGTACTGTATGACAACATCCCTAAAGAAGAACGCATCTGATGACGCTTTCAAAGGAGCAACGATTTCAGCAAACTCTGAAAAGAACACATCGAAGTATTTCCTGTGCATTTCATCACTTAGCGACAGTATGGATTCAAATGGGAATGAGAAAATGGTATCGGAATCGAGAACCGCATCGCGTGTAGGTTCCACTCTAGGTCCCCCATACGGCTGCTTGAGCAGAGCGTAATCAATTCTGGATGCCAAATCAGGCAATTCATGAGGAGATGCAATGAATGGGCTAATACTCTCATCCAGCGCAATTGCCTGATCTATTTTCGCAGATAGATCCTTGTCTATAAGATCCAGGGCCCCGAATGACGCATTGTTAGCCTGCTCACGGTTTGCTTCAAGCGCTGTTTCAACCATCCGGAATTTACTCCCATTTGTAGCATAAGTACACTCTTTGTCCCTTTTGGAGCATCGGATGCACTTTGGCTTTGCCTCATCACACTAGTTACAACGTGTTAGTCGACAATACGCATTGGGAATGTAGAATTATGTGGTACGCACCTTCACCTTCATCTTCTTACATTGAAGGCACCCCCCTCGACTGTATTTGGATCTCTTCCTTCTCTGTGCCTGTGCAGCACTGGCTATAAGGGGAATCTGGTCCTCGAGCGTTAGGTTCTTGTCTATTTGGTCCATTTCGTGTATGTTTGTTATCCGTTGTTTGATTATCTGAGAGGGAAACGGATGTTTGTTTGTTTATTTTTGTTTTGTTTTGTTTGTTTATTTTTCGACCAACGGCTCTAAAATCCCCGGTGCTGTCTGTTCAACCAACAAAAAAAAACCCGGACAAGAGAAAAAAGCATGAAATATACATCCGGACACCACACTGTGTTGTTCTGGCTTGTTGTTGTTACTCTTGTTGCTCTGGTTACGACGACTAATGAAGAACGCCGTGGAATGTAAAGAACTCTGATTATACGTGTCGAGTCATTGAACGCTCAGGTCACTTTAGCTGTTGTATCACATCTAAGTGATTCAATTCACCATGGTGGTCTATGTTTTGTAAGGTGGGCTCTGGTTAAGGCACCAAAGCCATCCACTATAGTAAAAACCACCTGTGTCGATCGACGTGTGCTCTTCTAGAATGACACTACATCACTTTAAACCAAGAAAATATATGTCATAATCAGCTAAAATAGGGTGTTCAAAGTATATGGCTTAAGGCTAAACTCTTGGTGCATGTGGCATTGGACTTGCCGGGATTGTGAGATACGAGTTTGAGCTATCTGCAACACCTGCATAGACAATGAAGAATCCAACAAACGTGGCAACCAATCCCAGCACACCACCTGCCTTTGTAGCTGTAGTATTGTCGTTGTACTTTCCAATAGCTAAGCACATCAGGAACACCCAAACAAGCAGGAAGAGGATAAAGAATGGCCATGTGGATTTAAACGTGCATAGCCACATCAAGAATGCGAATATTGTCCAAGCAGTAAGATAGAAACCAAGCGCATTACCCAACTCTTCCGTCGTTGAATAGCTCGAGGTTATACCAAACGCATCAATCAACAGGCCAGCGTAGCCCATCCAAAATCCACCGAATGATCCCAGTGCTGTCGCAGCAAAGGTGTTCTCAATAACCAAGCACCATAGACCAGATATTGTTTCCACAACACCGGCAAAAAAGAGTGCACACGAAGCAATAACTTTGGCATTTGTCACACCCCTGGCCTCGGTATTCACGAGAGAGACAACAAAGCAACAGATACAGAATGAAGTTAACCCCAATGGCACTGGATTACCCATTGGCCTATGGGGAGTTGCATGAAGACCAGGTTGAAGATCACC